GTAGGCATCATAACTTGAGAAAAAAAGAACCAGCAAGTTGAAATTTGGTATGATGCTATCTCTTATAATAATGAAAGTTTTTATTTTAGATAAGCTCAATCGGCCCAGCGGTTACTGAAATATGCAACCTTTTTGTGTAAATATATTTTGTTAAATACCTTGTAAACTACCCAACGGCATTGATATTTTCATTTTTCAAAATACTCGTTTTGACGGCTTCTATCTGGAACAATCAAAATATCTATACTCATTCATACAAAATTTTCGAGACATTGCCATTTGTGCTTCCGAATGGAAGCTTTGTAATTGTCCGATTTTCACATTCTCTAATTTTCCTTGGAAATGATGTAGAATGGTCTGAAACTTAAAAATACGAAGTTTTTACGACCATGTCTGTATGTGAATATGTCCACCGCCACCTTCCCGATGGTCAATTTTTAGAAAATTGAGTAATAAAGTGGCTAAAATAATTCAAAAAAAGTTGAAATTCTGTCAGATTATAGGACTTAATGAGGAGTAACTCTGTGCATAATTTCAACCCGATCAGTGAAGTAATTTTTGAGATAAAGCGATTCATTTTTAAATGGATTTTCACAAATATCTTTAAAATTATTGGACCGATTTAGATTTTTTTATCGTTCAAAATATTCATCTCGATATTCCCTACCTAGATCAACAAAAACATATATACCCGTCCATACAAAGTTTTTGAGATATTTCCTCTTTTCTGTTTTTCTATTAAAATCCTTTTTCGCGCGCTAACGTGTGCAAAAATCGAGATATCGACTTGAAATTTGGAGAGAATCTTGATTCTGTGATAACAAAGATTCGTATTGCGGATGGGCTCAATCCCGCGAGTAGTTTCGGAGATATTCAACTTTTTCTGAAAATGTATTATGTTGAATATCTTTAAAGCTTCGCAAACGATTACACTTTTTTTCCAAACATTCGTCTTGATGTTTACTACTGAGATTAATTAAAACATCTATACCTGTTCATACAAAGTGTTCGAGATATTCCGCTTTTTCTGTTTTTTCATCAAAATCCTTATACGCTCGCTGACGTGTGCAAAAATCGAGCTATCCATTTGTTTTTCAAAATACACGTCTCGATGTCATCTATTTATGTCAATCAAAATATATGTACCCGTTTATACAAAGTTTTGGAGATTCATTTCAATTAATCAACTTCATATAAGCGATTTTACATTTTTGGTGTTCCCTACAACAACATGAGGAAAAATTGGGCTAGGAATGTAATGTGAGACAATAGTTTCTCCTGTAAATTGAAAAAGGAAGTTGCTTTTGATCCATTCGGAAGCTTACTACCAATGGAATTGGTAGAAATAAAAAAATAAAATACAAATAACACAAAGTAACAGTCACATGCCTTTTGCAATAAATGAGCGGTCAACTGCTTGTTTTCTGTTTTTCGTAATAGAGAATTGAGTTGTTGATAACCGCTTCGTACACTTTGCTCAACGAAGGTGTCATGCTGATTGGTCGACTACTAATTGGTTCATTGAGATTCTTCCCTTTTTTATGGATAGGAATTACAATGACAGTTTTCCATTGTTCAAGAAAATAATTGTTGTTCAATGCATTATTGATTATTTTAGTTAGATAATTTATCATAATTTCTGGGACATGTTTGCTAATAATCGGGGGGATTTTATCAATTCCGCTGGAAACTTTGTTTGGCAAATATTTTAGAATTAATCTCACTGAAATTGGTGAAGTAAAATAATTTTCAAAGTTATCGATTGATTTTGCGTTTGTTGCTAAGTTTTCAGAGCTAAAGACGGTAACTATATTGTTATTTGTAATATCTATGTTCATTTCGCTAATGAAATTGTTTATTTTGTTATCAATTATTTCTTTCAATCTAGTGTTTTCATTCACGTGTTTTGGGGCGTTCACCCTTTGATAGCGAGCTCCAATAATATTAGAAATATCCAATTCATCATTAACAATGTATTCATTGATGTTGATTGGGATTTTAGTTGTCACAATGGACCTCATTGAGCAATGTGTTGTTATTGCAGTTAATTCTCGATTCCTTAATTAATGGGTTCTTTTTGGTCGAAATATGTTTTTTATACTAGGCATGAATTTTTCTGTTTCTTTATAATTAATTTTTTTAAAGATGTTTCTCCGGTATTTTTCAACTGCTACTTTGAATTCATTGTCTAACTTACTTTTGTATTTATTTATGGGTGATTTTACTAATTGAGTTTGGGGGTTTCTTTTGTTTGAGTCAGTTCTAAGACACTTATGGTAAATTGTCAGAAGATTCGATTTAGTTTTATTTAATTTTTCAATTTTTTTATTTATGTATTTCGTAATATTCCCGGATTGTTTTCCTCTAGGGATTAGTAATTCTATTGACTGGATGATATTGGGTGTATGACGTAATTTTTACCGATTTTGGAGCAAATTTATTTAATAGAAAAATATAGAGAACAACGAATTTAAACTTGGAATATTGTCCATCGTTTTCTATGACCTTTCGCTATCTCTTAGTTAACATACAAATGCCGTCGCGAAAGAAACTTGCAGGATTCTAGGCGATAAAGTCATCGACGAATTTACGCACATCGTCCCGCGTTTTGAACTGTTTATCCACTAAGGCGTGCTGCATTGACTGGAACAAGTGATAGTCGGATGGAGCCAAGTCTGGTCATTATGCCGCGTGCGGGAGAACTTCCCATCCCAAGTTCAGGAGGGTCTTCTGAGGCGCGAGCAACGTGAGGTCGAGCATTGTCATGCAGCCGTATGAGTTGCCTGATTCCTTGCCCAGTAAATGGCCTCTTCCGATTCAGTTCTTCGCTGATTGTCCAATTGTCGGCTGTAGGGTTCCGCAGTCACCCTCTGCCCAGTTTCTAGTAGTACGTAATAAAGCATACCCTTCATGTCCCACCAGATACACAGGAAAATCGTCTTTAAGTGGATGTTCTGTTTCGGCGTCGTTGTACTGGATTGCCCGGGATCACCCGTTATAATTTTCCATGAGAAGTGCTTTTTTTTTGTTGCCGGGCAGGCAGTAAAAGGCACGTGTTCATATGTTGACCTAGGTTGTGTTTGGTCAACACATGTGGGACCCAACTTCCAAGTTTGTGGATTTTTTTCATTTGGTACAAACGCTTGGAAATAGCTGTTTGGGTGACTCCTAACTGAGCTGCAAGCTCTTGTTGCGTTTGCATTAAATCTTCATCCAGTAGAGCTTGTAATTCCGCATCTTCAAACTTTCGAGACTGTCCGAGGCGCAGCTGGTTACTAATATTGAAATCACCAGTTCTAAAACGTTTGTACAACTAATTACAGGTTTCATAAGACGCAACGTCGGCACCAAGAATACTACATATTGATGTCCGTGCTTTAGAAGCATTGTTTCCTTGTTGGAATTCGTATAAAATGCAGTGCCGAATGTGCTGTTTATCAGTTGCCATGGTAAACTCTGCTATTGTGAGAGGTCATGTAACTCACGTAGACTTGTCCTTTGGTGTTCTGAAACCTTTTGTCCGGTCATTTCAAAACTACAAAAGACCGCGAAAATATTTCTATTTTAAATATAATTGTTGGATTGTGGGTGTGGACACGATAAATAGTACACGGGTTTTATTGTTAGAACACTGGTTAATTGGCTACAACACATCTCTCGTCTCGCGTCTCGCAGTAGAGTGAACTCTCACAACTTACAACCTGATGGAGAGGAGGTCCGCGCATGTGCAAGATCTAGTCTCCCCATGACGAATATATATGTCATACGCAAGGGCCTAAGCCCAGTGGGACCGGGAGCTGGCGCCACCTTTCCGACACTTCCTCCCGACTGCTTTCGCGTCCTCTCGCCATAACTGACCTCGGTCTCGCTTCAATTTAAATTCCNAGCTGGCGCCACCTTTCCGACACTTCCTCCCGACTGCTTTCGCGTCCTCTCGCCATAACTGACCTCGGTCTCGCTTCAATTTAAATTCCCTTCTTTCCTAAACAGACAACAAAACAATTATTAAATATTTACATTCATTATTTTGTCAACTTGGCGTTTGTGTAGTTCAAACGCCAGAGGTTTGGTGAATACGTCAGCCAATTGATCCCTGGAACTTATCCAGTTTACATTGATCAGATTGAGCTTGACACATTCCTTGATATGATGAGCTTTGATATCAATTATATATCTTAATTTATTTCCCCCACTCGTCTCAGCACTATACGTTACTGCCTTATCATCGCACCACAAGGTCATTGGCAACGGGGGTAGAAAAATCAATTCCAAGGAGTTGTACATCGACAACATCTCTTGACTCGCCTCACTCATCGCAACATACTCGGCTTGACACGTAGAGAGAGCCACAAAGGATCGTTTGTGCGTTCTCCAGATAATCCCATCACCAAACAGTTCAATCACATATCTACACGTGGTCAATGAGCCTTTGCAATCTGCAAAGCTAGCTTCTGAGTATGCCTGAATCTCACCTGTCTCACCTGTATATCTCAACCCTAAGTCAGTGGTTCCTCTCAAGTACCTCAGTACTCTTTTCACCATTTTCCAATCCTCATCTATTGGACTCACCTGATGTCTGCTCAGAATATTGACAGCGTAAGAAATATCAGGTCTAGTAGTCCCTGTTAGGTACAACAAGCTACCCACTACTTCTCTATAAGGACAATTCAATTTCTCATCGGCCATATTATAAAACTCACCATTAGTGTCCGACTCTCTAATTTTTTGCTCGTGGTTAGAGGCCTGTGTAGTGAGCATTGGAGTTCTTTGAGGATGTGAGTTCTCGAAACCGTATTTTGTTAGTATCTTTTTAATATATTTTTCCTGACGTATTTTTAATATACGATTCTCTCTATATCGTCTTATTGAAATGTTCAGAAACTCTTTTGGCTCACCCATTAGTGTCGTTTCAAACTCAGAACTCAGTTTAATTTTAACCTCATCTAATTTATCTTTATCGTTACTCGCCATAATTACATCATCTCCGTATAATAGTAGAATTAGAATTTTTTCCTCACTGCTCCAAGTAAACAGACACGGCTCGAGTTCACGAGGCCCACACCCAGTGCCACTTTAGTGAATTTCTCATTCCACCGTTTTAGACTTATTCGAAGTCCATAGAGAGATTTCTCTAATTTGCACACCTTGGTCTCTCGCTTCTGATCTGAGTGATGAGTCCTCTCTGGGATCTCCATGTAGATTTCCTCATCTATCTCACCATTGAGGAATGCCGTTTTCACGTCTAATTGGCAGGTGTCTCAGTTGTATTTGTTAATGGTAGCAAATACGGCCCTAAATAAGTGGATTCGCGATACCGGGGCATATGATTCTCTCAACTCGTAAACATTTCGATCTTTAAAGCCCCGTATAACCAGTCTCGCCTTGTATCGCATCTCACCGTTCGCTTCTATCTTGCGTTTAAATACCCAACTAGAGACAATTATGTTAGCCTTCTGTCCATTTTGATTACTAATCGGTCGTTCTACAGTTTTCCACACTTTATTTTTACTCATCGATTTAAGCTCTTCGTCTACTGCCAGTGTCCAACTGCTCTGATCTTTTCTTTGCATCGCGTCTTTATAGTTAATGGGATCTGAATTAATACTGGCAAGAAGAGCATCGTAGACCTCATCAGTAGACTCGTCCAGATTCAGTCCATTCTCATCTTGTGACAAACAAGCCAGAAATACTCCGGCTTTCAAGCTCGCATCGATTGGCAAATCTTCAAAGCTTGAATCCTGCACTCACTCCTCTGCAGGTTTACATACCTTAAGACTTGGGGTTTCCTTCCTTGGTCTGCCCCTCTTTTTCTTCGTCTCTCCCTCCGATTTGGACGTTTCATTCAAATCGTTAACGTGTTTTTCAAATTCTACAAACCATTTGTCATTGTTTGTCACTTCTTGAACTTCTGGGACGTTCTTAATGTCACCTTTCTTGTACCTATTACCTGTAAGGATATTTTCCCGGGTTGTTCACCCAGGAAAAATCCAAACTACTCTTTATACTGTCTCTATTGCTCAATAATCGTGCGCCAGCCGAACCTTCACGGGGGTTCGACGAAAACCGGCCTCTGAAGTAAACTCGTCCACTCAGAGGACTTTTTGGCTGGACAATGGGTTGCCTAGCTAACATCAGCGTGATACGGTAGAGTGAGCGAGGTCCACCAGGAGTATTACCACCACATCCTCACGAGCCTTTGCAAGCCGTGTATTATACCTTATGGCATAACTTTCCCCAATGAATTAAATTCATGACCTTCTGGAGAGTCTTTCGACTCTGCCAGTGTTCATTCTCCTTCCGAGTATTTCGACTCGGGGGAGTTTTCAGAGTCAAATGGAAATCAGCCGGGACTCCTCAGAGCTTGGGACGCCGAGAGGCTGATCCGACCAAAGTAGAACACCGTTACCCACTTCACAACCACCCACACTCTCGGCCACCAGTTACCGCTTCGGTCATCGCTCGTCACCGTCTCCGGGTACTCGAATGTCGGCACATGGTCGGGTCGACAGGAGGACGATCTCTGCTCCAGACCCACGGGCCCATGCTCTCGGCATTTGTTTCGCCGAGCCAGATAACGCCGGAAACAACAAAGTCATCACTTCGTGTGCCGAAATAACTCCTTTTTACAAGTGGGGGATGCAGGGGCATCCCCCTACGCTCGCCGCCAACGGTTATTCACTNGGTCGGGTCGACAGGAGGACGATCTCTGCTCCAGACCCACGGGCCCATGCTCTCGGCATTTGTTTCGCCGAGCCAGATAACGCCGGAAACAACAAAGTCATCACTTCGTGTGCCGAAATAACTCCTTTTTACAAGTGGGGGATGCAGGGGCATCCCCCTACGCTCGCCGCCAACGGTTATTCACTGAGGCGACGTGGAGTCCGAAACTCCTTATCCTGGCTTCTTCAGCCATTCCACCATCCAGCACACCGAGAGATTATTTCAACCTCTCGGTTCAAGCGCTCACATTCGACTAACTCGGAATCTTACTAAGGCCTTGCCTCCTAGTATGGATATCTCGGCGACGATAGGTTATTCCGTTACCCTATCCCCACCAATCAACCCGACGGGATCACGGAGGTACCAGTCCTATCACCTGCCCGTTGGTCCCTAGTCTACTCCGACCTAGTATATAGAAACGCCCAGTTAGACAGCCTGTACGTCGGCCCCTTTTCCCCTTGCATATGCTGGGCGAATTCTAAAGTAGCGATAGTCTAGTAACGTCTTCTAGACTTCCAGGGGTCGCGGTTCCACCCAAAACCGCTATGCCTCCAGCCTGTCATCGGTCTGTGGCTCTTCTCATCGAGTCGCGGCTCTTTCAGCCACCTTTAGATGTCGCTTCTGTCTCTCTTTAACAATTTCAGATTTCACATCTCTTTTTAAGGGGATTTCAACCCGTAACGAGAAAATCTCGTTACACACCATAGACCTGTTTTTCGTTACATCTTACGTGTCTAATTTCGTAGAACTTTCCTTCTTCTGGTTTCAGTAGTATATATCCTGTTGGAGTGTATCCAACCAGAATACCTCTCGCACTTTCTGTCCTGAATTTCGGTCCTACCTTTCTCTGTACTTTCATGTACGCGAGGCTTTCGAATCTCTTAATCTGATTCACATCAAAGTTATGTCCCGGCACAAACTCTTTCAGTGGAGTTCTCATCTCATTAGATTTATGAGGAGTTTGATTGAATGTATATGCAGCGGCAAACAGAGCCAGATCCCACATATTCTCCGGCAATTTCGCGTCGAACATGTAAGCACGCATGTTTTTCTGGATTGTCTGGTTGTATTGTTCAGCGACTCCATTGTGTTCTGGTGTATCAGGACTTGCTAGTTGTAGTTCCACGCCTAACTTTCTCAATACCTCAACTGTATGTAAGCCAATAAATTACGTACCTTGATGTGACCTAAGGTAGCATACCTTCCCATCGTAACCTAACAGATTTCTGTCACTTCTAACAAACATTTCAATGCAGTGCCCCGTTTCACTTTTAGCCTTCATCGGGTATGCCATTGCAAATGTCGATTTATCGTCTATGAACACAGATATGTACCTGTATCTCTTTGGATATGAACTCGGAGATATTGGTTCCATTATATCAGAGTGTATTATCTGCAACGGCTCTGTTGCTCGACTTCTCACCTTAGGAAATGGCAGTCTGTTAAATTTAGAAGCTAAATACACTTCACACTACATTAATGACTCATCGAAAATCACGCCTTTTAACTCTTTATTGTCCGGGAATTTAGCTAGCATAGTTTTGAGATATGCTATAGATAAATGACCGAACCTAGCATACCACAGCATGCCTTGACTATTACCCTGAATTTTATTTTTCACGACTCCAAACAGATCAAAAACCTCACCGCTCTCATCTATTTGTGCCTCGTCTACCTTACCAATCTTTCTATCCCAAATAGAATAATCAAAATTGGATTGTTCGAATTGATTTTGAATCGGCTTAAGGGTTTCTTTACTATCCGGTTTTTCATCTCGCCCGACTTCGGATTGCTCATTATTTCTCACCTCTGTAGACCCTTCTTCAATCCGTTCGTTACTCTCAGTTGGAGTTTCCATCGCCGAAACTTCATTCTGTTTGGCTGCGACATTTCGCGTCATGTGCCTTTTCACCTTTATTTCACTACCTACCATATTGTCTATAACTCGTCTAGTTGTACTTTTCTCTACTTTTCTATTGGCTGGACTGTAATTGTTTACTTCCAAATCTACTATCCAATATGGTTTCCTATACACGCTTGAGATAAATGACTCATTTGATTCTGGATTGAAGATATCTATTTTCTGGTCATCTAGATATATCGTAAGACCCATCTCTGCGAATCAAATATTACCTCACCTACTTCAAATTTCTCACCGTTTAACAATTCGATTTCTGCCTGATCTACTCCTTCCGTACTTAAATCCGCTTGTTTATTTTTATTCGCGCATTTGGTCACGCCTTTACTTTATTCGTCGAGGGACTTGAAAATTAGTTTCGAATTAGTTAAGTACTCCGTAGCACCAGAATCTTCTAGGAATTAGATAACAAATTTGTCTTTGTCGAAACAAACACCTACGTATAATGCCTGACTTTCACAAAGCTCATCATCCACTTCCATGCACTCTCCTGTCTCATTCGAATCTAACTCACCCTTCTCTTTGTAGTCTCCTCCTGAGGTTTTGCTTGATCCCTCCTTATTAGACTTTGTACTGGTCTTGGGCTTCTAGTACTTATTGTCTCCTTTGCCCTTCAGGTTATAGTATTTCCCCCTTTTAGCCTCTTTTGGATCATTAGCACCTAAACCCTCTGACCTTCTCTTCAATGACTCACCACCATTCCCAAATCCACATGTTAACTTTTGGCTTGTTGTTTGTCTCATCTGAGTTTGGGCAATCTTTAATTATGTGTCCGTAGCCTTTCCAACTGTAACATAGTTTGCCCTTACCATTGCCGGGGCACTTTCGGCCGAGGTGCTCATAGTCCCCGCACTCAAAACATCTCTCCTTAAATCCGGTGAGTTTCGCAGCTCTCACCTCAATGCTCCCCTTCCCTGACTGTTTCCTTGATGCTTCTTCCTGCATAACAACAAGTTTTAATTGCTCATAAGTTGGGGGCTGCACACCTCTAAGTTTAGCTGAGGACTGTAGGTACTGTACCATCGGTACAGACCCTATGATGGCATTATTAAACGCGTCCCTCTTTTCCTCATCGGATAAAGGGGTGGCGTCTGCTCAATTTTCGTAAGTTCGAATCGCCTCCTCGAACTTCTCACAAAACTCGACTGCTGTCATTTTTCCAATCACATACTGCATATTGGAGATTTCTTTTCTTACCGTAAATGAAGATATATTAGTTTCGTATCTTTTTATCTATTTGAGTTTATTTAGAATGACTACTGGATCTTCTAGTAATACTACTTTAGAGTGATAGTTTTTATCGATGTGATTGATCAATATGTCTCTCACCTGAAATATATGGTCATCCAAAGTCTTTTGATCTCCACTGAATTTTATGTTACTATCGAAGACATGCAGGAGTTTGTGAGATCTCACTTCTGACTTCAAATAGTGATAGAAGTGTTCAAATCTAGTGTTACTATCTAATTTGTAGTCTCTTTTAACTGATGGTCCTCTGTTAAGCATCTCCAGTTTTATGGATTCAGCAACTTCTTTAGCAGTGCTATTTTCAGTGCTTCCACCACTTTGACTCTTTTCTTCGGGCCTTAGATTTTCCCATTGTCTTTTGATAAGATTCTCAATTCTCGCTTCCAATTTTTCATCCTCATTTAAATCATGGCCATTATCTGGTCAATCTGACCCATTTCTCACCTTTTTACCAGGGTCGTCAGTTTCAGCCCTCAGCGGTCTCTCGGTCCCGTCATCCACATGGGAGAGCCTGTCGTCCCGGCAGTTCCTCATCTCGCTCATCTCTTTTATCCTTTCCTTGATGCTGCCGNCTGGAAAGAAGAAACATTTTTTTCTGGAAACCACAATTCCCATAGAAATTTTGCAAAAAATAAACAAATAAAAATCAAAGCCAAGTCAAGAAATGTCCAATGGATCATGGAATGTGCTATCAGATTATTATGGGGAGGATAACTCTGAATAGAAGGATTTTCAAAAAAATCTTCATAAAATAAAAAATTGAGTAGAGAGAGGATTCAAAGTTCTTGGCGCGGAGTTTCCCAACTCATTGTCTCGTATCAATCTGTATCTTCCGATCTGTATCTACTGAATTTTTTATTTTATGAAGATTTTTTTGAAAATCCTTCTATTCAGAGTTATCCTCCGCATAATAATCTGATATCACATTCCATGATCCATTGGACATTTCTTGACTTGGTTTTGATTTTTATTTGCTTATTTTCTGCAAAATTTCTATGGGAATTGTGGTTTCAAGAAAAAAATGTTTCTTCTTTCCAGAAACGACCCCACGAAACTTTTTCTTGGCGCAGTTTTTTTGCAAAAACATTTGTTTTTGTTTTTTTTGGGAGATTTCAGTCATTTTTCCAAAACGAGCACACGATCATTTTCGTATGAATCGAATTTATTTTTTTCTGCGCAACAGAAATTATTTTCAATCACTTCTGCTCTAAGAAAAAAAGGTATTTCTTTCCTACATTTATTTATAATTTGTGCTCTCATTCGATTTGAGAATTTCATGAGAAAATCGAACGTGCAAATTACCCGCGTAAAATAACCGCAGAAATAAACTCGCCCATATGTTATTCACGGACTGAGTTGAAAATCTAAATTAATCGAGGATAGGGGAAAATTTTTTATGCAATATACAGACCTTGTTCATCAATTTTTCATTAATTTTTACAATAAGTCGATGATGAGTCTAAAAAATGCAAATCAGTAGAATTCAAGAAGGGGAGAGAAAGAGTAATGCGCTATTCAAATTTCCCTCCTCTGCGCGTGAGTTTGGAGCGCACTGCTACGAACTTCGAAAACGAAAACTCGCACTGCTCAGAGATAATGTAAAATGCGAGAATGTGGATATGATCCCGTTGCAATGCGCGTAATTTCCTTAATATTAAGTCGAAAAAGAAAATAGTGATATCAATTGAAAGCTCGTGGCCGATTTATGTGATGTAACTAAAGCTATTTTTTTCGTAGGGTATCACGTTTTCATTTTATTCAAGAAATGTGTTTCGGTGGTAGTGGAGAGGGTAGTTGCTTCGTGTATAGATACGCGGTGCGTTCGGCCTGATGTTTTGCTCAGTCGGTCAAAACTTTTCTTGGCCGATACGCTATCTCGTATCTCGATTAGTTTGCTTATTTGGGCTTGTTTTTATTTTTGTGCATTCTCGCCTTATTTGTATTTCATATCAATTTCAAATTTGGATTTAGTTTTGCCGCCGGCCGCAGTTGCGATCCGCGCGCGCTGGCAGAGAGCCGCGTACCCCTTTTCTTTTCTACATCTCGCCATCTCATCATTCGCTCGAGCTTTGCATGTGCTGCTTAACTATAGCCACTTCTGGTCACTACCCCTACCAATGCTGCGCGCGCACCCACCACGTTAACCGACTCTATACTGTTCGCGTCCCTCACCGATTCTCCATACTTGGACGCTTCTCTCACCGATTCTCTATGTATTGGACGCGTCCCTCACCATGTTACAACTCTCCCAACTCATCCCTCAACACATGTTATTTCGACCTATTTCAATCTATTTTTATTTTAATTTTCTTCGGGATTTTCAATTTCCTAACTGCATATTTTATTTTTCTCCCGGATTTTCGTTTGATGGTTTGGCCAACGTTTGTTGTCCACCATCTTGTCTTCCAGCATCCACGTTATTCCCGCCAATCTCCCCGTGATGACGCAAACCCTGTTCATTGTCCGGGAGATACTTACCACCAGTATAGCACATTCAACTGTACTTACGCCTCTCTCCTTCTGGCTTTTCCATCTTTCCAGCCTTCCCTCGCCTTTCCTTGCCACCTCAGACCACCAGACCCTTGGCACTATGTTCCTGAGGGACACTTGACACTATGTTCGTGAGGGTATTTTTCACTATCACTTTTATTACTCGTTTCTCACTTGAGTTTTTATTTGCGCAGTGGAAGCGTGCTGCGCACATAACCTGTTAGATTGCGGGAGTGGACACAATAATTAGTACACGGGTTCTATTGTTAGAACACTGGTTTATTGGCTACAACACATCTCTCGTCTCGCGTCTCGCAGTAGAGTGAACTCTCACAAGTTACAACCTAATGGAGAGGAGATCCGCGCATCCGCAAAATCTAGTCTCCCCATAACAAATATACCGGGAGCTGGCGCCGCCTTTCCCAAAAATAATAAGTAGCTGGCGCCACCTTTCCAACAATAATTTTAAGCTCGAAGAATAAATCTGTAAAAATTAAGTCATACACCTAGAATACACCTAGGATCTGAAACAGATTCGTCGTTTTCTGGGAATGGCATGCTGGTATAGGCGATTCATACGAGAGTTTGCAACCATAGCTCAACCGCTGATACTTCTGATCAAGCAGAATCAGCCGTGGTTGTGGAATGAGGAATAGTAAGAGGCCTTCGAAGCGCTGAAACGGCACTTCGGAAACGCTGGCTTCGACTCTTGCATGTTGCGATTTCTCACTGCTGTTTACCCTACAAACGGATGCCAGCGATGTAGAACTCGATGCTATATTCACACAAGTACAGGATTCACAAGAGCAAGTGATAGCTTACGCTAGTCGCTCATTAGCAGACCCTGAAACAAGGTACACAGTGACTGAGCTGGAATGTTTAGCCGTTGTGTGGGTAACTATGAAGTTCCGCTGTTACTTGGAGGACTATCCCTTCACAGTGATAACAGACCACAGGGCCTTAAGGTGGCTTCTTAATATGAAAGACCCGGCCGGAAGCATAGGGAGATGGAACCTACGTTTGCTAGAGTATGATTATAAAATCATACACCGGAACAGCGCCCTTCCTCAGGTGCCTGACGCACTGTCATGTACACAGGAAGGAGCGAAAGAGCTACTCACAATGGCCATGGATACCGAAGACAAGTGGTATCTACGACATTGTCGAGATGTAGAGAGGATCCCAGAGAAGTACTCGATGCGGAAAATCTCTGAAGGATTCTTGTACCAGCTCAGGCAGAAAATAATTGCCTCAGTGGACAACCAGGATCTAAACGTGTCGAAATTAGTTCTCCCTCGAAAAATGAGACGTGGCGCTATACGAGAGTGCCATGATCTACCGCAGGCGGGACACCTAGGTGTTGATAGCGCCTGCTTGGCGAATCAATTTTATTGTGCCACAATATTTGAAGACGTGATGACGTACGTAAGTTCGTGCCACGAATGTCAGCGCTGCAAAGTGCAACAACAGCCTCCGGCAGGCCAGATAGGGCTTCGAGCAATGGAGAAACCATGGTCGAGAATATCAGCAGATATTATGGGTCTATTTACGCGCACTGAAGCAGAACACCAATATATTTTAGTTGTCCAAGATTTATTCACGAATACGCAACGATACGGAAAGCATTGGAAGAAATCGTCATCTACCGATGGGGAGCTCCAAGAGAATTGCTGACCGATAATTGAACCGAGTTCACAAACAAAGACTTGAAGGATTTGGCTGCTTCAACCAACATGAAGCACCGACCAACGCCGCCGTATCACCTGCAAGCGAACCTCACTGAGAGAGTGAATCGTTCGCTAAAAGTTATGATACGAGCGTACGTAGAACAGGATCACCGTGATTGGGGCCGTCACTTGGATGCATTTCGATTTGCATACCATACAGCCCAACACAGTTTACGGAAAGCTATACCGGCTTTCGTAAATCTCGGGCGAGAGGAAAGGTGAATTCGAAGTCGGTGAACTAGTTCTAGTTCGCAACCGCGAACTGTCGAATGCTGCGAAGCATCGTTCAGCGTCCTTGAACAAATCGTTCAATGGACCTTTTGTGGTGACCAAGAAACACTCCAGACACTTTTACCAGGTTTCTGACATGACATTTCGTAATACCAAAGACACCGCTATACATGAAGCCCTATAGGGAGGCTTTGGGGGACACCCCCGACTGAAGAGTCGGAAGGTGAAGATTAGTTACTCCTGGAGAGTATTGACTTGAAACGTATAGGTTTTGGATCGAAACCTCTCTTAAAAAGGGAGGTGTGTAATGAGATTTTCTCGTTACGAGTGATTATCCCCTCAAATAGAGATTTGCACTCTTAAATTTATGATTAGAGACACAGAATGAGACATCTAGCGGCGGCTGAAAGAGCCACGACTAGATGAGAAGAGCCACAGGCCGATGAAGGGCTGAAGGCATAGCGGTTTTGGGTGGAACCGCGACCCTTGGAAGTCTGGCGGACGTTACTACAATTTCGCTAATTTAGAATTCGCCCAGCTTTTATGAGGGAAAAAGGGGCCGACGTGCAGGCTGCCCAATTGGACGATTCTAAAGGCTATGTCGGGGTAGACCAGGGAGCAACGGCCAGGTGAGCGGACTGGTGACCCCGTGATCCCGTCGGGTTGATTGGTGGAGATAGGGTAACGGAATGACCTATCGTCGCCGAGATATCCAGACTAGGGGGAGAAGGCCCTAATAAAATCCCGAATGAGGGGAACGCGGACACTCAAGCGGAGGGATCGAAAGGATTTCTCCGGAGTAATTTGTGGTGTTGGCTTGAAATATGGCCAGGGACATAACTGATGGTAGCGAACGTAGGGGAATGCTCCTGCATTCCCCACAATTGGGAAAAAGGAATTATTTCGACACTCGAAGTGACAACTTTGTTGTTTCCAGCGTTATGATGTCTCGGCGTTTTCCTCTTGTCGGCCCGACCATACGTCGACGATCTAGTACTACTCAGAGACAGTGACTCGCGATGACTGAAGCAGTAACTAGTGGTCAAGAGTGTGGGTGGTCGTAAGGTGGGTAACGTAGTTCCACTTTGGTCGGATCAGCCTCTCGACGTCCCAGGCTCTGAGGAATCCCGGCTGATTCACAAATAACTCTGAAACTCTCCCGAGTAGAAATACTCGGGAGGAAAAACCATGCTGTATGAATCGAAGGATCCTCCGGAACGGGTGTGAATAAAATTGAATAAGAAAAGTAGGCCGCAAAGCTTAATACACGGCCTGAAATAGAGGCTCGTGACGATGGGATGGAAATGCTCCTGGTGGACTTCGCCCACTCTACCATGTCACGCTGATGTTAGCTGGGAAAATCATTGTCCAGCCACCAAAGTCCTTTGAGTAGACGACTCTGCCTCAGAGGCCGGTTTTCGTCGAACCTTCCGTAAAGGTTTGGCTGGCGCCCAACATACGAGCGATAGAGAAAGCAAAAAAGTAGTTTGGATCTTTCCTGGGTGAATAACCGAGGAAAATATCCTTACACCCTAAATCTCTCTATATAATAAAAAAATAAGCCCAAAAATTCAGGCGACGCTCAAAATTCAGGCGACGCTTGATCCGGCCATATATGGGGGGGGGGTGCCCATATGTAGGGGGTGCCCATATGTGGGGGGTACTTATATATATGGGATTGCCCACATAGGGGGATGCCTATATATGGTGGTCCCCATTTATGGGGGGTGCCCATATATGGGGGGGAATTATACGTATGTGGCCTCTTATGGTAAAGTATTTATAGAGCTATCGGAAAAACGCTCCCGGTCACACCCATTCGGTCACACCGGGAGCCGGGAACGAGCGCAGCTAGCGGGGTCTTCAGGGCTTCAGAGGACGTCCCCATCCCTGGAGGGTCTCAAGGGTCATAGGAGCCCTAAGGGTCATAGGGGTCATAGAGGGGCTAAGAGTTATGAGGGCCACTAGGGTCACAAATGTACTAAGGCTCTTAAGGGTCACGAAGGTCATAGCGGTGCTAAGGCTCATGAGGGTCATAGAGGGGCTAAGGGTCATAAGAGTCACGAGGGTCTCAAAGGTCACAGGGGTCATAGGGGTTCTAAATGTCATGGAGGTTGTAAGGATCACGAGGGTCATAGGAGTGCTAAGGATCACGAGGGTCATAGGAGTGCTAAGGGTCACGACGGTCATAGGAGTGCTAAGGGTCACGAGGGGCATAGAGTTAATAAGGGTCATAAGGGTCATGGGGGTTCTAAGGGGACTGCCCATATATGGGTGGATGCCTATATATAGAGGGGCACCCGTATATGGGGGGTACCCATATATAGGGGGAGTGTCCCTATATGGAGGGTGCCCATATATGGGGGGCATATATGGGATATGCCCATATAAGGGGGTGTTCATATATGGAGGGTACCTATATATATGGGCGGTGCCCATATATGAGGGGGTGCCCATATATGAGCGGTGTCCATATATGGGGGGGTGCTTATATATATGGGGTGGTGCCCATATGTAGGGGGTGCCCATATATGGGGTTGTTCTCATATACGGGGGGGTGCCCATATATGGGGGGGAATTATACGTTTGTGGCCTCTTATGGTAAAGTATGTATAGAGCTATCGGAAAAACCCCGGTCACACCCACTCGGTCACACCGGGAGGGGGGAGCGAGCAAAGCCAGCGGGGGGGGGCGAAGCCCCCCCGGGGTTGGCGAGCGGAGCGAGCAGGGGGCGTAGCCCCCGAGTGAAGTATAAAAAACAAAAGATGAAGGAATCAACTCCAACTTCGCGGTCAAGGAGAGAAATTCCGTGACACTAAGCATTGTGGCCCAACTTCATCATAGTTTTGGCGATAGAAACAATACTTTCGGTCATAGATAAATTCTGCATTAATCCAGACAACTTATTTGGACCGAAAACAAAGTATTAAAAATGGCAGATGAAGGAATCGACTTCAACTTCGAGGTCAAAAGAGGGAAATACATAGCGCTAGGCCTTGTAGCGTTACTTCATCAGAGTACTCGGAAAGACCAAATCCGTCCGGTCATAAGAAAGTCATCAATTGATTCAGACAATTTATTAAGATCCGAAAGGCAGTATTCAAAGCAAATGATGAAGGAATCAACTTCAAATTCGCGGTCAAGGAAGACATTTCATGACACTAGGCACTGTGGTGCGACCTCGTCATAGTTTTGACGATAGAAAAAATACTTTCGGTCATCGAAAAATTCTGAATCAATTTAGACAATTTATTCGGACCCTTAACAAAGTATTACCAGTGAAAAATGGGAAAATCAACTACAACTTCGAGGTCAAAAGAGGAAATTACATGACGCTAGGCATTGTGGCGTGACAGCCTCAGAGTACTGGTATGGAAAAAATACGTCCGATCATAGGAAAATTCTTAATTAATTTAGATAACTTATTTGGACCCTAAATGCAGTAATAAAAATGTAAGATGATTCCAATGAATTCGAATCTTCTGATTTTTTAAAAATTTGAAAATTCTAACTACATGCCTACTGGTATCAAACATACTCCACCCCCCCCCCCTCCCCACGTGTCCATGACACGAGGAAATAGGGGATAGTAATTATTTTTCTTTACTCACAAGTATTGTTTCATTGCTAATTGGAACCCCTCAAGGTGATTTTTGATTCTGTTGAATTTTGAAAAATTTGTTCGCCTCGGTCGAGTATATTGCAATGATGAGCAAGAATTTAAAATGGTTAGATCTCATCATTCTACCCCACCGGGATTAGCACTCGAGACTTTGCGCACTTGAGGCAACGTGCTGATAATGTTAAACATAAACCATCGGTTGCAATAGTATGAAACTATCCAGTAATGCTTGAGAAATTTTCACGTTTTTTCCGCATGTTTTCTCTACTCATTGCTGAATATATAATGAGCGAGAATGATGAAGTTTGGACTAAGTTGTTACTGTTATCCGAAATAATTGAAATCATGTGTTCTTATCAAATTAACAAATCTTTTGTGGCGTATCTACAAACACTCATCAATGAATATTTGGCAGCCCCAATTTTATAATTTCCTACTATTCTTTTCAGGCCGAAACCATTACTTTTCTCACTATCACCATGTAATTCTGCTATTTGGGCCATTAATGATCGGCAGGACCATACGATTTGAAAGTAAGCACACTTTTTTCAAACGAGTCATGCGGTCCGTCCCTAATACAATCCGCGTAACCAAAACCTTCACAGAAAATCATGAATTACTCCAATGTTTACTCAGCCAAGATTCCGACCTTCAAAATGATACTAAAATTGTCAAATCGATATACTTCCTTATTGATCGATATTCTCTGAAATTACAAAAGGCCATAATAAAAGGCTCCAAGGCAGATGGCAAATAAGAAAGTTGTGGAAAAGTAATTGTTAGAGGCACTGCTTATCAATGTGATCCAGCTGTAATAGTTGAACGAGATGAGTACTAGTGCAACGGACGAACAGGTTTAATTATCATCATATAAACGGATTCTTTAAGAATGTTCATCTTATTCTGGAAAAGACGGACAATATTTTCAATAGAGCTTTGAGAGTTTATGAACTAAAGCGTAGACATGAATACGAATACATACTATTTCAAGATATCATTAGCTATCAGCCACTCCACGTGTATAAAATTGGTACGATTAATTGCATCCGTTTGTAATCGGGAATCGTTGACTGAAATTTATTCCGTCACTTGTTATTAAGGTAATAGAGCATGGTAGGATAGGAATAAAAGATGAATATATGTGCAGTACTAACTGCGTTTTTGATTATTTCTTTACAGAGTTATGAATGTCTTCTAAATTAAGAATGTTACGAGAAAGAGGGATTCATAGTAATAATCCCCAGAGCAGATTATTTTAATTATACCATCCAACAATCCATAAAAAAAAATCTCACTGCCGTCGAGAGAATATAAGTTATCATTATCCGGAGAACCATTATAGGCAGGAAATAAATTAATTATGTAATTAAAAAAGTAATTATTAATTACTTTCAATGACAAATTTTTATTATTCGTATGTATTTTATTCCACATAGTTTATCTGGCAAGGAATTGAGATAACAGAGTATTCTATATTAGACGCATGGGCCAAGTAATTTGGGGCATCACCCTCCATGTCAATATTTACAAGAGAGAACATTATGAGGAGCAATGTAAGCTCATCAGAGACATCGAATTTGATCAACCATTGTCTAATTCTTTTGCCCTCTCCTGGCTCGCAATAATTATAGCCTGAATCTGACATTGATGATAATTGACACTTTCACAGAATGGTAGGAGCCAAAAGTCCTTCCGTGTTCTGGCTTCGAGACCGTAAAACTCAAAATCTACAATCCCTATAATCATCGGAAACGCACCAGCAATAAACAGCCCTCCACTGCGATCCCACTAATTCCAACGACTGATCGGAAAAGGAATAGAGAAGTTCCAGATTCATTGGATAAATATGGCCATGCTGAACGGGAGCTCCATTTACCATCAGAGGACACTCAGGGAAGTCAACTTACTTGTAAAAAATTCTTGAAGAACATCTAGGATGGAACGACCGAAGATGATGCAAAAATTCGGGAAGCTATGGATAGAACCTAGCCGACACAGAGAATCGAAATGAATCGCCGAACAGTATGCATACCACAGCTGTTCGATGAGTGACCAATTCTGAACCATCCCCGATATTTTCTGTTACATGCATCACGAGTGTTAGAATTTGCTAACATTGATGAAATCGTTTGAGAGAATATCAAGTATCAGAGGAATATTTATGAATTTATGAATACAGTTCAACTCTACAAACCTGAAAAGTCCACGGCTAATATTGAACAAATGATAAATACTCTGCTGGAAGCTTCAACAGCAGCCCAGTATCTTCAAGAAGATGTTTCTCATTTGGCAATTATTCCATTGATAATAGCATACTTCAAAGAGGATTTAGATTTTCTATACAAAATAGTTGTTGTGAGTAAAATAAATCGGAACAAGTGTTGATATTTTTCCATTATTTGAAATCTGACAGCAACATTTTTTTTCAGGAAGCAATGAGCAAAGAAGATCTTGAGCAGCTCATAACGAATCCAACACAAATTCTCGTTGTGAAGGGGGAATCGTTATACGATCCAATTGCATCATATACAGTCTTCATTGAACAAAGAGAATATATTTACCGAACGCATGCATTGCAAGGATTTTTAATCGTTTTCCTTGCGTACTTCGTTTTTGGAGTCAAATACCCCCATGATTTGGACACAAGTCTAGAGTTTATTCAGAAGTATATCATTCATTTATTTACGTTTGATAACATTTCAACTAATAGTTTTCAGAAACTCCATCTTTTAGGGGTACAATATGATTATTAGAAAACCTCATTCATTTTTCAAGGATATCAAAGTTCTTTGACTATTTTTTTTTCCAGTTGAAATGCTTTTCTACTTTATTCGTCGAACATCAGAGCATTCATTTCATTTGACTCTAAGTTTCCGGACATTTTAAAATGATGTTATTATTTAAATTTTGCATGTCTGAATCTGAATCACGATGTTGAACCATTAGAAAACATTTTAAATATCTGAAAAAAAATTAAAAGATCAATTTTGGGAGAAGATTGATGAAATAATCTTAAAACTGAAATTTCCGTAAACTGTAAGAATTTTCTATAGATAATTTTTAAAGATTTAATTTGCCATCATAAAAATCATTTGCTCACAATCGCAGCAAATTTATTCAGATTTGGAATTTTACCAGGAATCAATTTCATGTTTGAAATAATTGGGTCTCCAAAAGTCTAAACAATTTCAATTATTTATTTATGAACAACGAATGTTAATAAAATAATTATTCTGTGCAAAATGTAATTTGAATGACGCTGAACATTCTTGATTTTTGTCTAGGTTTTTTTACGTAATTTAATTGACAAATTTGAAGATTGAATATGGTTAAATCTAAAGGGTGGTCTGTACGAAACCGGTACGTTACTTTTTGAGCCAATTTTTTGGCGCCGATACACTTTGGCGCTAATTTTTGTTGGCGCACATAGTAATTTTGCTGCACATGAAAAAAATTCATCAACAATTGAACTACGAACGGCGATGAAAAAAAAGAATGAATTCTACGAAATTCACCAATCTAAAACACTGAAAAAAAAAATATTGTTGCCAAAAATCCATTTACTCGACAGGAGTATTAATTTTTTCAATACCGTATTTCTCCGGTCCGGTCATTCCTAGGCAATCCTCATTAGATTTCCATTATGATAATTATATGGCTCTGGAAGATGATAATGTTTGTTATAGCCTTGAGTGAACTCCAACAACAATCATCAATATTAAAAAATTCATCAAAATGGTTTCCTCTTGCAAATAAAAAATAAAGGAAAAATGAATAAATATTGGGGGAGATCATCCAAGGACATTACAACATAGTCATCATCTAGAGCAATATAATGTCATAATTGAAACCTAATTAGGCTCGCCTGGGAATGACTCGATTGGAGAAATACGATTTTGAGAAAATGAATGATTCAAGTAAATGTGTAATGGACCCGAGCGGTTGGGTTCGATTAAAGAATAGATCACACGCGGATAAATAATAGAAATAAATATCTTTATTGAGAAATGATTTTAAACGATTAATTTACCATTTATTAAATAAATAAGAACTCGGTCTGATACTGAAGGTATCAGGCGAGTAGAAAATTAAAGAAGGTAATTAAAGTGTCGTCGAATTACTGGCCAAGAGGCAACGAATTCATGAGGTTTTATATTCCTTCGTGTATTCGATTGCATCAGGTAATTATCTTCGTCGCACACCTGCGAGGCATCAGGTGACGTCTCCCGGCGCGCGCGAAGGCCAGTCGTCGGGGCGCAAAGTGCTGACGTTGCACCCCAGTTATCAACATTCGTCAAATATACGTGATTTTTCAAACAAAAATATTCAACGTTATTTTATATTTCTTCATTCCGTTTTGTTTCGAATAATATATGCCACTTTTCTGTCCTCATATTTTCCGAATCAACAGAGGAATTTCATAATATTATTTTGGGGCATAACAAATGAATATTTGGCAAAACTAATTTTTTTTCTCAGTGAATGAGTCAGCGTGATTGCTATCATGTCAATATTTACATCACTTACATAATACCCATTGATGGTTCCGATAGTTGATAGAAACCCATTATTAATATCTCTAATCGGCCGAGTATTTCAGTAGAATGGGACCACTCACTGAGAGTTCACCATGGCGGCTAAAATGAAAAAAACTACTCATGGACACAAAAACTATTTGCACAATGGTTACATGTTCACGTTTGACAAATCAAGTAAAAAAATGATCAATTCTTTTGGCGTTGCGAATTCAACAAAGATTTTAGAAAATGTGAATAAAAATCTATAGTATAGAACAAAATGTGGAACACTGAAAAATCAATCATTCGAAATAATAATAATTCTTTTCAGTAAAATATAAAAATATCCAATGTTATTGAAAAATTTGACATTTTGTTATTGATGATATAAGGCGCCAAAAAATCTATGGGGGCTCAGAAAACTGGCGCCAGAAAGTCGGCATCAAAAAATCCTTGCGCCAAAAAATCCTGTTCCAAGAAATTGAGGTTTTCGGACGATCAAAGATTAGTATAAAAACTTTTTTTATTTATTGTAGTAAACAATTTTTTATGTGTGGAAATTTCAATCGGGTTGAAAAAACGGATAAATGTGTATGGCGTCCAAGAGAACAATCACAATCTACAGGTAGAGAAATCAACTCATTTTGCATCATCAGCGATGAAGTATTCAATTGAATACTCACCCTAAAGAATATTTCATTTTTTGTGCCAGAGTATTCTTGGATATCGACATACCTGAGGGGAAAGAAAACGCATTTCTCCCATCTATCGAGCAATTGTCGGATTTCGGCTCGGAAGAAAGATGGTGTTTTTGACTGGATGAATCATCAATGCTCTGCCGGACTTCTTCAGGAGATCGAAACTGGGTATCCACCAGGTGATGTTGTAGCGCCCAGAAAAGGTGATAGTCAGAAGGCGCAAGGTCTGGAGAACACGCCGCATATGTGAGAATTTCCCAGCTCAACATGGAGATGAGTTTCAGGGTTTCTTTTGCCGTGTGTGGCCGCGCGTTGTCCTGCAGCAAAATCCCTTGCCTCGTACCACTACCAGTAAAAGGTCTCTTTTCCTCAATAGCATCACTCAATTTGAGCAGTTGGTCCTGATAACGCTTAGCAGTGACAGTTTCCCCCTGTCCGAGTATCTCATAATAGATTACACCTTTGGAAACCCACCAAATAAATAATAAATTTTTTTCCCGTGAATGTTCGGTTTTGCAATAATCGTTGACGGCTCCCCCGGATAAATCCAGGACGTTCGCCCTTAGGATTGTCATAAAATATTCACTTTTCATCCCCAGTCACAATTTTATGTAAAAAGTATTTTTGTTTGAATCTGGTCAGTGGGCACATTGCAATTTCACAGCGTCGACTTTTGTTTTCTGAGATAAGATGATGGGGCACCCAACGAGCTTCCTTTTGTGTCCTCCCAATTCTTTTTAAACGCACCGAAATAGTTGGTTGAGGCACTCCGAGAGTTGATACTCTTTGATATTCTAAGAGAATTAGAATTTAGAGAGAAAAAATGTCCGCTTCACCCAGCCGGGAATCGAACCCGGGTCTCCCAGTTACGCGCCGGGCACTCTTACCGACTAAGCTACCGGGAACTACAGAAATTCACTCTCAAATTCACCTCATACACCGCCTAACCTCCTTTAGGCATTAAAGAATTCTAAGAGAATTAGAATCAGCAAGCTCCTGTTGTGTTTGACAGTGATTTTCATTGAGTAAGTTGCCCAACTCCTCGTCCTCAAATTTTTTTGGTTGCCCAGGACGTTCCTCATCCTGGAGACCGAAATTTCCTTCCCGAAACTTTTTAAACCACTTTCTACATGTGCTATAAAATACAGCACTCCTTCCCAAGGCCGAACGAATCATTTCTTGTGCTTCTGCGGCAGTTTTTCCAAGTTGAAAGGTAAAAAGAAGGCAGTGCCTTAAGTGCTGCTTGTCGAATGACATTTTTATTCACTGTTTTTTGAGGTTGTATTAATGGGTTGGGGACAATCTATTCGGGATAGAAGCAACCTAGGGAGACATCTGGACGGAACTCATGAAGTTTGAAACTTGTTAAGGGCATGAATGACTTCGCTAGAACAGCTTTATTATCGACTATGGACGATTATCGAAATTTCAATTTTGCGGAACTTTTGCGGTAATAAATTATATTTAGCAGTAAATAAAGATACAGGCACTCAATTCAATTTAATTCATTTATTCTTTGTTTTGACAACATGGTCTTATACAAAGGTGAGTCTCATTAGTACATTGTTCATTAACGGTGATACAGTTCATAGTTTCCTATCATAGTAGTTTTTCTCCTATTTCTGTTACATTATTTTCATAGGTTACATTTTGTTCCATCGAGTAGTTATAGCAGAGATCAGTGCTGCCATTGCTTACTTATTTTGTTCAAATAAAATTGCAGAGCCCTGACTTCTTCGATTTTTTTGGCGTTTAAGGGAGTTAGTGTGGGGTTAGAATTAGTCGAGTCAAGATTGCATTTGTTATATAAAGTTTTTTTTTCTTCCGTAAAGCTAGAACAGGTTGTCCGGGCATGGTATAGGTCATTGTTCAGGGGTTCATGACAATTGGGGCAGAATGCGCTCTCTCCGAATCTTATGGTCGAGTTTTTCAGCACAATTCGGGGAGAAATGGTTGTAATAAGGCGACATTATGAGGTGGTCTGTAAAAATTGGATCGGCAATTTAAATTCCAAGTAAGGTTATTTTGTATCGTTCAAATCCAGGTACAAAAATACTGGAAGTGAAGAATCGGAAAGCCTGCGCCTGTCCTCGGTTTCTAATTTGGTCTTGTAACTGACTAGAATTTTTTCGATGTTATTGTTAAGAATTCCTCCTTCGCAGAGAGCCTTGATCCCCAGTGGAAAGTGGTTTTGTACAGTTTTATCGAGTTGTAGACACCAATTATATTTAGTTTTGATGTTTGAGATTGAAGTGAGGCTAAGCAGTTTTTTAAAACAAATTTTTGATAATCGGTTGTCATCCATCATCATTAAGTTTTCGAGCCATCTCAAAGAATGTTTAAGCACTTCGTATTCAAGAGGAACAGATCCAGTCTCCAAACGAACTGCGTATCCGGAGGTGTGGGAGGGTAGTTTGAGTAGTTTTTTATAATAATAGGTTTGTAGAGAATTAATTTCATCGTAGTGTCTCAAACCCCATACCTCCACCCCGTAGAACATCACGCTAGTTGCTAAAGACGAGAACAGGTACTCCTTAGAGTGCCAAGTATCGGAGCGAGCACGATTAAGGGTGCTGAGGACAGAGTGAATAGCCGATCGGGTGGATGTTTTAGCTCTTCTAAATTGCGGCTCAAATAGACCTGTCTTGTAGAAAGTAATCCCGTGTTATATAAACTTGTCAACGATCTCTAATGCCTCCCCCTCACATGTAAAAGTGAGGCCTTTAGGGGTTCTACCCTTATGAAAAATGAGCACTTTCGATTTGGATTTTTTCATTTTTAGTTGATTTAATTTAAAGTATTCCTATGCCATTTTTAATTTTCTTCTGAGATCTGGATCTGGGTTTTCAGCAGATAAAACCAGGTCGTCTGCGTAGGCAATACACAGGACCTCGTTTTTGTCAATAGAAAGACCCCGGCAATTATTGTCACGCATATATTATTCAAAATCTGATATGAAAAGAGAAAATAAAAGAGGGCTCAGAATTTCTTCTTGTAGCACCCCTTCAGTAATATCAACTGGGCGAGAGAGATCAAAGCCTGTACGAACGGTCAAGCGTGCCCGTTCATACAGACTTTTACAAATTCTGATGATCTTATCACTTACCCCGAGTCTACCAAGTTTCGTACACAAGATTTCATGATTTACCGAATCGAACGCTCTCTAAAAATCGATAAAGAGAGCATAAATTTTTCGTCCGGGTTGGGACAAGTGAATTTGGGAGAGAGAGGAGAGGGTGAAAATATTGTTAATGCAGCCTCGACCCTTCCTAAATCCCGATTGGAATTCAGGCAGTTTACTGCTAGATTCTGTCCAGGTGACGAGTCGACCGTTGATTATTTGCGTAAAAATCATAGCTAGGAAATTTACCAGGGATATACATCGATAATTCTCAGGGTTTTCGGGGTCTCCTTTCTTAAATATCATTGATGTATACATCATGGACCACTCCTCAGGCACCGTTTCCTGATCAAGTATTTAGTTGAAGAAATCTCTCAGATAAACTAACCAATTATCCGGGAGATATTTAAAAAATTCGTTACTAATGCCATCCGGGCCGGGTCATTTTCCACTCTTACATTTTTTCAAACTCATCAAGAGATTTCTTGATGAAAGCAAATCGGTTGATCGAGGACGGGATGATTCGAATTCGTTATTAACAAATCTGGATATTTTTTACAGGGTGGGAGAAACTCTTGGAAGAAATCGTGCCAGATATCTGGACCTATTTTGTTCATGATGTAAGGCTTTATCCTAAATTTATTGACTATGGACCAGAAATCTTGGGTGGTTCGACAAGAGCTAATGGATTTTCTTATTTCTTCCAGGATCTTCTCTTTCTTCAGCTTAATCAAATTACAATAGTCTTCTTTCGCTTTCTCGTAAATTTCAATTTCATTCAGGTTTGTAAACATGGATTTTGTACATGACTTTAGAGATTTTCTTAAGGTTTTTCTGGCCCCGGCGCATTCTTGATCATCGCATGGTTTTTTGGGGTTTATTTTTTTCACATTTGTTTCCTTTTTCATATTTAATAGCTCAGCCGCCTCCTTAATTGAGTGAATTATATTTTTATTTCACTCATCTGCGCTTTCCGTTTGGAGATCCCTAATATTGGCTGATAGCCTCATGTTTTCTATGTAGCTACCAACCATAGAATGATTCCATTTATACTTTATTTCAGGCTCCGGGGCCTAATCATGCCCGTAGGAAATGAGAGAGCTTAGAGTTATAATGATAGGGAGGTGATCCGGGCGGGTGGGTAAATCCGTGACCCGTACATCACGTACCAGATTCAGAGAGTGCCAGTTGCAAATTACAGAATCTATAACACTGGGTTTTTTGTTTTTTCCATGGAATATAAACTGACCTTGACTGTCACCTGGGAGTCGTCCATTCAAAATAATTAGTTTAGAACCAGTAATAATTCCACACAGTCGTTTTCCCCTCGTATCTACCTCTTTATCAGCTGATATTCGATGTTTATAAACACTATCAGCGTCAGTGATCAAAATGTCATCTACAGGAAAAGAGCATCCAATTCGGGAATTTAAATCGCCCATGATAAACAGAGCAGCTAAGGGGGAGTGTGATTATGCAATGTTTGCACTGTTTGCAATGTTTCTAAAGATTGGAGAGTTTTCGATTTGATTATCGCGAGAAAGGTAGCACAGAATTACATTAATATCGAGGTTCTGCGAGGTTAGTGTGACTGCTAGAATTTCGAATTCGTTCAATAATACATTATACTTATATATATTCTTATTAATGGCAAGTAGTAGGCCTCCGGGGGGGTGTCCTTTCTTTTTGTTTTCCTTCGCGTGCGAGTAGATCAGGGAATAGTCGGCTAGCCAGGCTGGAGGATCAACTAGCGGTTTGTTGAGCGAGGTCTCACAGAAATCCAAAACATCCGATGATTTAATGTAAGATGGTAATTCACAGTTGTTATTGGAAAACCCATGGATATTCCAAGCTAACAGTCGTATATTGTCATCTATCGTATTGTCGTTATTATTGGTTGCATGAGAAGCATCAGATGAAGGAGATGGGTGAGGCGATCTTACCTCGGATGGCATATTTATCGGTCGTTGCTATTTATTTGCCATCAACTTGCTATTATTCCTGGTTGAACGCGGCGTAACAGGCTGGTGTTTAGGATTGTTTGG